CATCCCTGCCATTCTTCTGGAAACAAGCATGGAAGAAGGATTGGACTTTGGTAGGCAGCCTTAAAGACACTGTTGCCTATCTCATTAAAGGACTGGAGATGCCAGCCCTGGGAAGGGGGATCTGTTGTCAGTATTCAAGTCAGGTGGGCAGATATTCAGATCTCTGTTTCTCCCAAGGAAGCTCCAAGTTGAGATAAGAGGTTACAAAGTTCAGTGGTGAGCTTCACCAAATTATTTCTACAGCCCATGAGCTTCTGGACCTGGTGTTTGCCTCAACACTGCTGTTTCAGTGAACTGATTGACATGTTCTCCTCCTGAAGACAAAATGCATACATTGGATTGCTTTAGAATCCTGAAGGAGGAAGAGGCAGGCATCCTTGCCTCAGAAATCCATAAAGTGACATGATGGAATGCCCTTTATCAAGGAGATAAAGAACTACACAACTTTTAGAAGACATCTGAAGGCAGCCCTGTATTGGAACTTCTTAATGTTTGATGTGTTATTATGTTTTTCTATGTGTTGGAAGCCATCCAGGGTAGCTGCAGCAACCCAGTGAGATGGACGAATAATAATAATAATAATAATAATAATAATAATAATAATACTCTGGCCCAGAACATATATCATAGATAGCCATTTTAAGATTTGTTTTAAGTCCCAGGATGACGCCACCAGGGGTGGTGGCAGGGGGATAGTGGCTCCCGATTGAATCAATCTCTTTACAACAGGTTGTGATCAATGTACCCATGTTCTTTCAGACAAGTCCAAAAACTACAAGTTATGGATATTAGCATTACCGAAGCATTGGGTCAAGCTTTTCTAAAAGGGAATTATTTTGGCGCAATGCATAACTGAGTGAATGGAGCAGCAAAATAGCAAATGGAATTCAATGTATGCACCTGTAAAGCAATATGTTGTTGTTGTTGTTTAGTCGTGTCCGACTCTTCGTAACCCCATGGACTAGAGCACGCCAGGCACTCCTGTCTTCCACTGCCTCCCGCAGTTTGGTCAAACTCATGCTGGTAGCTTCGAGAACACTGTCCAACCATCTTGTCCTCTGTCGTCCCCTTCTCCTTGTGCCCTCCATCTTTCCCAACATCAGGGTCTTTTCCCGGACGTCTTCTCTTCTCATGAGGTGGCCAAAGTATTGGAGCCTCAGCTTCAGGATCTGTCCTTCCAGTGAGCATTCAGGGCTGATTTCCTTCAGAATGGATAGGTCTGATCTTCTTGCAGACCATGGGACTCTCAAGAGTCTCCTCCAGCACCATAATTCAAAAGCATCAATTCTTCAGCGATCAGCCTTCTTTATGGTCCAGCTCTCACTTCCATACATCAATACTGGGAAAACCATAGCTTTAGCTATACGGACGTTTGTTGGCAAGGTGATGTCTCTGCTTTTTTAGATGCTGTCTAGGTAAAGCAATATACATTTAGACAAAAAGAAAAAGAAATAGTAAATTTCATGAGTATGCTCATGGGGTTTGGAATGGCAGAGAATAACCAGGGACGAGACTTTAAAGTCACAGTGGATAGCTTGATGAAGATGTTGAGCTGGTGTGTGGCAGCTGTGAAAAAGGCACATTCCATGTGAGGGATCATTAGGAAATGGATTGAAAATAAAACTGTCAATATAAAAATGGCATTATATAAATCTATGGTGCAACCGCACTTGGAATACTATGTACAGTTCCGGTTGCCTCACCTCAAAAAGGATATTGTAGAGCTGGAGAAGGTTCAGAAAAAAGGCAACCAAAACAATCAAGAGCTTGGAGCATCTCACCTATGAGGAAAGGACACATTTGAGACTTTTTAGTTTAGAAAAAAAAGGCAAGCAAGCAAGAGCATTGGGACACGATCCAGGTGTATAAGACGGTGTAGAGAATACTAGAATCTGGGTCGATCCATGAAGTTGGAAGATTCAGAACAAACAAAATAACTTTCTCCACGCAGCCCTTATACTGCGGCATTTGTTCTCAGAAGTGTAGCAATGGCTGCCAATTTGGATGGCTTAAAAGATTAGGCAAGTTCATGCTTACAGGGAGACAGACAATGGCACCGTTGTGTCATTCTCAACTGGGCAGCCCTTCCCACTTAGCCAGTTTTCGAAGATTTACTGATCTGAGCAGGATGAGGGTAAGAGGAACCACTTCTCACAGCACTCTGGGAAGAAAACCATAGTCGTTCACCTAAGGCAGGGTTGGAGAACCTGTGGCACTTCAGATATTCCTTATTTATTCAGCGAGATTGATATACCACTTCATCAAAACATATATCTCTAAGTGATTATCAAAAGAATAACAACAAAAGCAACCTTTAAGAACAGCAGATGCTGCTTCCAAAAGTGCAAAAATTGTAGTCGTTCAGTTATTTATTTGCAGACATCAAAAATATCAGTACTTTGTTGTATGGAGGTTATCCAAAGCAATTTAGTCTAGAATGGCAGCAACCTGCATCCTCCCCAAATACTCTGATGAGCCCTGTGAATATCTCTCTCTCGCTCTCTCTTTTACGCACAAACATATTCTTCAAGAAGTCATGGTTAACTATTTTGTGGCAGCTTCCTCACAGTGGCCACAATCCTGAACCCTCTTTGTGAGAATAGGACCCATTAAACTCAACAAGACTTACTTCTGAGGAAAAATGTATCCCTGCACTCTGGTCACACCTACCCAATACATTTAAAGCACCCTTATACAGTGGTGCCCCGCAAGACGAATGCCTCGCAAGACGAAAAACTCGCTAGACGAAAGGGTTTTCCGGTTTTGCGTTGCTTCGCTTGACGAATTTCCCTATGGGCTTGCTTCACAAGACGAAAACATCTTGCGCTTTTTTTTTAAAGCCGCTTGAAGAGGCGCAGTTGCGACGGACCGTGCTTCGCAAGACGAAAAAAATCGCAAGACGAAAAGACTCGCGGAACGAATTATTTTCGTCTTGCGAGGCACCACTGTACCACCTTTAACAGCCATGCCTTCCACGAAAGAATTTGGGAACTGTAGTTTATGCAGCATGCTGGGAACTGCAGTTCTGTGAGGTGCCTCCTTACAACTCTCAGCACCCTTAACAAACTACATCTCCCAGAATTCTTTGGGGGGAGGGAGGACGCTATGACTGTTAAAGTAGGATAAAAGTGCTTTAAATGTATGATGTGGAGGTGACCTTATTCTGTCAACTTTTCTTTGGGTGCTTTCACATGGCTCAGCGCTGCTGTGCAAATTTGGTGCAGCTGTCTTCAACAAAATGCTGCCCCACATGATTTCGCCATTTAATCTAGATTTACCGTTTCTGTGGGAAATCCATTAAGGAAAAACCCATGCAGAAGCAGTAAATCCAGATTCAATGCGGGGAATGAAAGACTTTGTTTTCTTCCCCTTTGAAAGGCATCCTAAATTTGCATCCATGTGCTGTGGGTTAAACAGCACTTGGCCTAGGCCTTGCCAATCAGAAGGTCGGCGGTTCAAATCCCCGTGACGGGGTGAGCTCCCGTTGCTCGGTCCCTGCTCCTGCCAACCTAGCAGTTTGAAAGCACGTCAAAGTGCAAGTAGATAAATAGATACCGCTCTGGTGGGAAGGTAAACAGCATTTCCGTGCGCTGCTCTGGTTCGCCAGAAGCGGCTTAGTCATGCTGGCCACATGACCCGGAAGCTGTACGCCGGCTCCCTTGGCCAGTAAAGCGAGATGAGCGCCGCAACCCCAGAGTCGGTCACAACTGGACCTAATGGTCAGGGGTCCCTTTACCTTTACCTTTACACAGCATATACAAATTGTATGCAGAATCATATCATGGACCTGTGTCCCAAGTTTTTTAAAAAACATTTACCAGCGCTCCTGCTTCCTGTTGATGCTGGTCACAGGAGAGGGATTCACTTCTGCCTGAAAACATAGCCTTGTAGCCTCTTAGCAAGCCAGTAAAAATTGCTGCAGGCTAGTAACATTTTGGGGATGTAGGTGGCACTGTGGTCTAAACCACGAGGCGTCTTGGGCTTGCCAGTCATAAGTTCAGCAGTTTGAATCCTCACGACGGGGTGAGCTCCCGTTGCTCAATCCCAGCTCCTGCCAACCTAGCAGTTTGAAAGCATGCCAAAAGTGCACGTAGATAAATAGGTACCACTGCGGTGGGAAGGTAAACGGTGCTTCCATGTGCTGCTCTGGTTTTGGTGTTCCCTTGCGCCAGAAGTGGCTTAGTCATGCTGGCCACATGACCCGGAAAATCTGTCTGCGGACAAATGCCAGCTCCCTTGGCCTGTAAAGCGAGATGAGCACTGCAACCCCAGAGTCATCTGTGACTCGACTTAACATTTTAGGCTTTGAAGGTCCACTGCAAGCAGCTGCTATGAAGGATCTAATTATTTGCTTTTGTCAACAGCTCTTTACATAAACAATATCCCATGTCTGATGGCAATCTGACTCTCTTCACATTTCCCTGAGAGGCAAGAATACCGTACATTGGATCATGATGCCTGGTTTAGTTCCCAAGCAAGGAAGGCTTTTGGTGCTTGCCGTTTTATTAACCAGCATACAAGCAGGTATAGCGCAAACAGGAATAGCTCACACACAAAGCACTTATCCAACATCAGATTTTTGAGGTGACGCAGCAGCACCTCGTCTTGTCTGCTTCCAGTCCAGCAGAGCTCAAGTCAAAAAAAAAATTCACTCTCAAATCTATTAGCAAACCTTCCACCAGATTTTCTTTTCTCCTCCAAGCAGTGGATGGGTGTTAACATCTACAGGCGAAGATGATTATAAAGCCATTATGGTAAAGTCCTTCTGTCAAGTCTCAAGCCACCCATCCATTTTGTCAAACAAAAAAAACCAGCTAGCCATACAAAGGGGTTCAGAGGACCTCCCCTTCACACGCTGAAAGAGTGCACGATGGAGGTTGTGGGTCCGTGCAGTCCAGCCCCACAGCCTGTTGCCAACACACCCAGAGACCATACCTGGCTGCTGTCTTGTGTGCTTGGTTCATGTCAAAAGTGTGCGCATATCAATGCACACACATAGAGCATATGGACAACTCAGTTGGTTAGAGCATGGTGCTTAGAATGCCAAGGTTGCAGGTTCGATCCCCGTATGGGACAGCTGCATATCCCTGCGTTGCAGGGGGTTGGACTAGATGAGAACAGAAATCGTGCGGTGGCAGCGGGACGCCCCATTAGCTAAAGTTTTACCTCAGGTTAAGAACAATTTCAGGTTAAGAACGGACCTCCGGAACGAATTAAGTTCTTAACCCAAGGTACCACTGTACGGCCATGTGTGCTTCTGTGCAATGGATATTTTAAAATGACCGTAGACGCATGCATAGGATATGTGCAATCCTAAGGAAACACAGCAGCCAGACTTGGAGAGGCGGCGGCAGCAGCTGTTGAAAGAGCATAGAAAGTTGTAGTGGCAGTAGATGGCAGGCCTGATCTTGGTTATGAACATCTTGGAGGCAGAACATCTGCTTTGCACCCAAAAGGTCTCCAGTCTCCAGATAGGGCTGGGAGTGCCCCCTGCCTGAAAACCTGGAGAACTGCTGCCTGTTAATAGTGACAATACTAACCAAGGCCACATTTGCACCATATATTTAAAGCACTGATACCACTTTAAATGGTCATGGCTTCCCCCAAGCAATCCTGGGAACTGCATCTTGTTAAGTGTGTTGAGAGCTAACTTAGAAGGAGGCCCTGCTATTCCCCTTGCAGATGATAACGATTTCCAGAGCGATTTAACAGTCAATCCCTCTTCACAGGGAACTCTTGAGAATTGCAGCTCTGTTGAGGGGAAGAGGGGTGTCCTCTCCTCACAGCTCTCGGAACCTTTTGCCAAACTACAGCTCCCAGAATCCTTTGGAGGGAAGCCAGGATTGTTTAAAGTGGTATCACAGTGCTTTAAATGCACTGTGTGAATCAGGCACAAGATGGTCAGTAGTAGTAATAATAATAATAATAATAATAATAATAATAATAATAATAATTTATTATTTATACCCCGCCCATCTGGCTGAGTTTCCCTAGCCACTCTGGTATATGTAATAATTTTTGTTTTTATTTTTATTATAATGTAATAATTTTAATAATTGTCTTACTTGTACACCACCCATCTGACTAGGTTGCCCCAGCCACTCTATAAGTGACTTCCAGCATACACAAAAACATAATAAAACATAAACATTAAAAACTTCCCTATACAGGGCTGCCTTCAGATGTCTTCTAAAGGTTGTAGAATTACTTATCTGCTTGACATCTGGTGGGAGGGCGTTCCATCAGGCAGCTTTCTATGTACTGTATTTTTCGCTCCCTAGGGCGCACCAAACCATAGGGCGCACCTAGTTTTTAGGGGGGGAAATAAAGAAAAAAAATATCCCCCCCCAGCCCCAAAGAGTAAAGAAGCCAAGACAGCTAGCGGGATCCATCCATCCATCCGGGAGAGGCTGCGCGTGGCTTTGGCAGAAGCCAAGACAGCGAGCGGGATGGATCCATCCCGCTCGCTCTCTTGGCTTCGTTTTTAGCCACGGGGCTGGGGTGGGGGAAGCCTGAGCTTCCCCCGACCCCAGCCCCCAGAACAGGTCCAGGAGCGGCAGCAAGGTTGTGCGCAGCCTTGCCGCCACTCCCGGAGCTTGCTGGGCTGGGGGCACGCTCCGAAGGCTTGCGGATAGCTGCCTGAAGCCTGGAGAGCACAGAGGGAGTGCTCCCACTGCGCTTCAGAGGCTTCCCGTTGCTATCGCTGAAGCCAAGGAGCCTGCATTCGCTCCATAGGACACACACACATTTCCCCTTCATTTTTGGAGGGGGAAAAGTGCGTCCTATAGAGCGAAAATACGGTACCTTGCTATGTGCTAAGTGCGTACCTATTCTTCAGCCACCAACCCAATTGCTTGTCTTTGCTCCTTATAAGACTAAGGTTTCTGTGCTTCCCAGAGGCCATGGTTTCTATGACAAATGTGACCCTCAAAACTCCTCATTTAAAAGGAGGGAACAAGGCTGGGCAACAGTACCAGGCCCCAAGCCTTGTCTCGTGCCCCTTTGTTTGGGGGGAAAAATCAGTTCCCCTCACTTTATGATGGCAATTAATGTTTTCATTCAACTGCAAAAGCTGGTGCTCAATATAAATATTAGCAGAGCGAGCAAAACTGCCATCCTCTCCTCTGCCGGCAGGGTAATCTCCCTTCCCCCCACTGCTCTATTTTTCCCATTATCCCTTTAATGCTGAGCAGGGCTGCTGATTACAAAAGAGGCAGTTTGACTCCAGCAATAGGTCTTCTTCACTAATCCTCACTGTCATGGAAATTCCAGCTGCTACACGAATAAGAGGCTCAATCCATATTTGCCAGCTCTAATATGAAATCTGTCAGAGCCCAAATTAATGAGTTCCAAATTCCTTACATCACGATAACAGGTTAAGACTGGTCAATTAATTACATAAATCCTTCCCGATTCATTGTGCATTTTCAGGCGAGATTGTGTCTTACATTACTCCATGACACAAGGCCTTTTGGCTCTTGTTGTTCCGCAGAAAGGCCCCCATTTAAGCACAGCCCGACTGCCACAGCCAAGTGTTAAATGTCATGCATTGGATTTGCACTTCTCTGTAATTGCTTTTGTTTTTTTAAAAATTAAATTAAAAGCTGTACTGCCGCAGTGCGTTTGGGGAGGGAGAGGTTAGGGGAGTGGGACCCTAGAAATCTGTTCCTCCCCTTACCAACCTGAAAGAAAGGCTAACTCTCTCATTGCATATTGTGGGAGGGGAGACGACCCCCCAAGGCACTAAGGCAGGTTCTCTATGGCATTTATTTTTGTGTGCTTTGAAAAAACACAGGAGTAAAATGAAGTACCGTTGTTAAATTTCCAGACACTGTGAACATCTAGAACCTTCTAGACTATTCAGTAAATAGGGAGGAAACTTAATTCTCACATCCGTTTTTGGGAGGTCACTGTGGGGTTCTGTCCAACTCCAACCCCTGCTTTTGTCCTTTTTGCAAAAAGAAACTTCTGTCTGAATATACACCCCCCCTTGTGGAGAGATAAAAATTTACCACAACATTAACATTTTGATTTAAACATGGTTAAGAAATATCTCAGCTCACCAGCTAGAGGGAATTCAAAAGTAAGCGTCACCATTTAAAAATGGAAACAAAAAAGACCCATGTCCTCTTGTGGATTTTTTTTTTACCATCTCAAAAATTAATATGAAAATTGGGCACTGGCATATTAGGTAGAAGAGTACTGTCACCCCTGGAAGAGATTTAAGGATGCAGTCCAGAAAGGTGACATGTGTGGTGCTAGAAATAATGAGCACATTCTAGAATACTCCAGAGTCATCTGTTTATTTTCATCTACTGTCATGTCAGAAAGATAAAAAGGCATCTGAAATAATTTAAGGGCTGGGCAGGAGGAACTAATGAAAACAAAACTGATGAGAAACCTTTATAACTCTGGACCATGGCCTCAATGGGTGTGTTATGTGTGTATATTCATCCACTTGCAAACATACAGAGCTTGACAAAATAACAGTCAGTGCTTTCTGGGTAATATTATACTTGTTAAAACAAAACATAAATTTAAGTTTAGAATAATTCTGCCCCAAATATTGTGGTATGAGGAAAAGAGACTGCCCCAATTTTTAAAAAAGTTATTTTAGGCTTGGCTTACACAAAAGGTAAAGGTAAAAGACCCCTGGATGGTTAAGTCCAGTCAAAGGCGACTATGGGGTGAAGTGCTCAACTTGCTTTTCAGGCCGAGGGAGCCGGCGTTTGTCCATAGACAGCTTTCTGGGTCATGTGGCCAGCATGACTAAACCACTTCTGGCGCAACGGGACACCGTGACGGAAACCAGAGTGCACAGAAATGCCATTTACCTTCCCACCACAGCGGTACCTATTTATCTACTTGCACTGGTGTGCTTTCAAACTGCTAGGTTGGCAGGAGCTGGGTCAGAGCAATGGGAGCTCACTCCATCATGCGGATTTGAACCGCTGACCTTCCAATCAGCAAGCCCAAGAGGATCAGTGGCTTAGACCACAGCGCCACCCACTCCCTTTTTACACAGTTCAGTGCATCTCCACACAATCCATCTGCACCTGTATGACAGCTGTGACATCATGGATGATATAACATGGGCTCCAGCAGCAGTTGCGCAGTATTTGGGGATCCATGAGATCACACGTCGCATCCTTCCAGCAACTTAAGGCTGGTTGGTGGCATTGCCATGCCGGTGCCTCAGACCCATGTGAAATATGTATGGATTGTCCCTTTGAGTTAAAGTCATATGCTTGCTATGAGTTATTACACCTTTACTCAGAAGCTGACACCTGTGACTGAAAAGTGCTTTACACGATCACATTAGAAAATAAGGAGACAGCGATCCTGGCAGACACACAGGGATTAAGCACTGCGCCTTGTTGAAATCTGCCATTCTACCTTTTCCGCTGGTGCTTAATTTAAGCTAATGCTCAGCAGTACACAGTGCCCCCTCCTCAAACTGCTTTCATGGAATAGCCCTGGGCAAAGGGTCTTTTAAAAAAATAACAAAACAAAACAAACAAACCTCTGAGCATGTGCAGGCTGCCTCCCACTACCAAGCAACCACAATCTGCCCTCTCCTAACTAGTATTGTGGGATGAAGGTCTGTGGTTTCTAGTCAGGCTAATATGTTGCTTTGGGACGCGGGTGGCGCTGTGGGTTAAACTACAGAGCCTAGTACTTGCCGATCAGAAGGTTGGCAGTTCAAATCCCCGCAACGGGGTGAGCTCCCGTTGCTCGGTCCCTGCTCCTGCCAACCTAGCAGTTTGAAAGCACATCAAAGTGCAAGTAGATAAATAAGTACCGCTCCGGTGGGAAGGTAAATGGCGCTTCCGTGCGTTGCTCTGGTTCGCCAGAAGCGGCTTAGTCATGCTGGCCACATGACCCGGAAGCTGTACGCCGGCTCCCTCGGCCAATAAAGCGAGATGAGCGCCACAACCCCAGAGTCGGCCACGACTGGACCTAATGGTCAGGGGTCCCTTTACCTTTACCTTACCTAATATGTTGCTTTACATGGGCAAGGGCTGCAGCTCAAAGGCAGAACATTTACCTTGCATGCAAAAAGTCCTCGGTTCAACACCTGG